TGCGTGTGCGTGTGTGTGTGTTTATTTAATATATGCATATGTGTGTGTGTGTGTGCGTGTGCATATATTGTTGATTATAAATATTACATTGAACATTTTTGTCTTATATATCGTATATTATTATAAAATAATTTTATCGTAATTGACAATATTTTATCGTGTATCTATTACATATTTATCTATTTCTATAAATGTACATATACGAATAGAATACTCGATAAAATATTATCAATTTTTATAAAATACCATTAGATAAATATTGATTAAAGATTATCACTACCCAAATAGCACCACTGATCCTTTTGATTTCAAAAAGAATTCACTTTTTTGAGTTTTTTTTCGAATTCGTAATTTGTTTTTTTTCAAAAATAAAGTAAAAAAGAATTCCTTTTTAATAGTTAAAAAAGTATTCCATAAGGATATCTTCTGGGTCTATTTTTTCGAAAAATTCGATTTTTTAAAAACATCATTTTCGTGTACTATATGTATGTAGAATTAGTGTAGGAACACTTAGAAATCGATCGCCGACCGAGGATAAGTCGTAAAGTCGATTATCAGTTAGTGCCTCTGAATGCGTACAGAAGGCGTTTTGGCTACTTCTGCATCGCAAAGGCTCGCTTCGATTTCCCGCCTGTTTTACAGATGAGGCTTGGTTCTCACACGTTTTTGGCATTAAGTCGGAACAGTCGAACATTAGTTTACGTGTAAAAAACGTGCGTACTGCTGAATATAACGCTAATATAACGATATAACGATGGATAAAAAAGGCAGTAGAAGTCGCAATGCAAGAGCAGATCGTCCAAAAAAAAGAAAGTTTCGTGGTAATCAAAATACAAGCGAACAAAATACAAGTCAGATAAGTGCATCGGCTCGGAAAATTTCGAAAGGGAATCCCGAATTCGAAGTGAACGTTGATTCAATGCTGCAGTACTCCATAGTGAACTTCGTTTTGTTTCTGACTTTACAAAACATTGTTATGTGTAAAACTTGTAAAAGTGACATAAAGTTTTCAAAACGTGCTGAAAAAGGTTTGAGATTTCAGTTAGTCATACAGTGTCAATGTGAATCTGACACTTGAATTCCAAGCAGTCCACAAATTGAATCATCGTATGAAATAAATCGTCGGTTCGTATTTGCAATGCGTTTACTCGGTATTGGCTATCAAGGTATATGTAATTTTTGTGGGCTCATGGATATAAGCCACGGATTTAGCATAAGTTCTTATTATGATTTAGTACAGCACATTTGGATAGCAGCAAACGCTGTTGTAAAATTAGTCTTTCGAAAGCGGTCGAAGAAGAGAAAGAAAAAAATGAAAGTGCTGGTAACATCAAGAATCGTCTCACAGTTTCCGGCGATGGCTCTTGGGCTCGAAGAGACTTTTCTTCTCTTATTGGCTTGGCGACTGTAATTGGAAAATTTACAGGGAAAATCCTTGATGTTGTTGTTAAATCAAGTGTATGCGCAGGATGTTCGAAATGGGATGACAAAAAAGATAGAATCGAGTACGATCTTTGGTACGAGAGTTATCAGGAAACGTGTAGTATTAATCATGAAGGCAGTGCTGGATTAATGGAAGTTAATGCTATCATTGAAATGTTTAAAAGATCTGTAAGCTCGTACGATGTTTACTATGAACAGTATATAGGCGATGGCGACACAAAAACATTCAAACAGATAAAAGATGCAGAGCCCTATGGTACAGTTGTAAGTGTAAAGAAGAAAGAATGTGTTTTGCATGTAAAAAAGCGCATATATAAAAGAGCTAAAGATGCCAAAAATGAAATCACACGACTGAAGAAGACGAAGAAAATTTTGGAAGACCAACAGAATAAAAAATCGAGTTCGACATCGAGAAAAACTGTGGCGAAGAACATTGAAAAACCAAAAGTGAAAATTGCTGCATTTACCAATCAGTCAACATGTGAACATGCAAATTATCGACTTATTATGAATTGGCTGTGCGAAGAAATCCGGATTCTGTGGAGAATATGAGAAAAGCTATATGGGCTACTTTTTTCCACAAAATCTCAACCGATGATAATCCTAAACATGAGAATTGTCCAGAAGAAGCCGATTTCTGGTGCCAGTATCGTGTCGCGGAAGTCTCTGGAAACTTGAATAAATTCAAGCATTCCCCCGCGTTACAAGACGAGATTCAACCTCTGCTGAAAAAAGTGTACGAAAAAAGACCTCACGACAGATGATTTGTCGGAACGATGCATTGGAACCAACACTCAAAATTCAAATGAGAGCTACAACGCGTGTGTTTAGCGCTTAGTTCCAAAACACATGTTCGCCGGTAAAAAAATCGTCGAGATTGTAGCCTACTGTGCTGCCTGCACATTTAATGAGGGCTTTCAATCTTTGTTAAAAATCATGGAGGCTATGGGAGTTACCATCGGCAGAAACGCAGTTGATATCGCGCAGCGACGCGACCGTGATCGCATCAAAACTTCGCAGCGTCGTAGCCAGGATTCTACAAAAGAACGCAGAACTGAACTCCTATCCTAAAATCCTAAAATCTGCAAAAAACGAAGCATATGAGGAAGAGGAAGGCATCATGTATGGAGCAGGCATCGCTGATTGAGCGTAAGACAATTTTTTTATGATTATACTAACGATTATACGAACAAAAACTTTAAACGCATTTTTCTCA